CAAAACGACAGCAACTTGTCTGTTTTCCCCTTCCCCGATTCCCCAGCGCTGTTCCCATCCCCCCAATTCCCCAATAAAAATGTTAAAAAAAAAGAAGTCACTGAGGTTGCCAGAAACAAAAAAAGAATTTATCTAGCTATCCACCAAATGTCCTCATACAAAGCAACAAATATTCTTTAAAAACTTTAGCCCTGGTTTGAAGATAAAGGGAGACTTCATCAACCAAGGTAGCATGATTTTCAGCCCAAAGCTGACAGCTGTGGATTCCATGGTTGAGGCTGGGAAAATGAATAAAGGGGACCTCATTAAAATCGGGGTGGGGAAGCCCTGAAGGTGGAGCTCTCACACACAACCACCCACTGCCACCTGGGGACCCCAGCAAGAAGAAGCCACCTTGTTCTCCCCAACTGGAAGAAGCCCACTTCACCGCCAAGGCAGGAGGAAGGAAGGTTTTCTCCTGGCCCAGCAACAGGCCAGCCAATGAGAGGCCACCACACTCCTCAGCCAATGAGAGGCCACCACACTCCTCAGCCAATGAGAGGCCACCACACTCAGCCAATGAGAAGCCACCCCCCCTCTCCTCCAATGGACTTCTGCCCGTAACCGCCCTCCCAACTTCCCCCCTTTTTCTCTATAATATTAGACTCTCCTTCTCTGTTTTTAGGACTTGCCGATGGTTTGCCATAGTTTGCATGTCTGGAATTGCAATTCCTCCGCTATTCTTGAATAAGCCCTTTTTTGCTGGTAAAATAACTGGTTATTTTAAGGTTGACAAATCTGTCCAGTCTGTGCGCTTGGGGGCAGTGTGGGCAGCCGGTGCTGGCGGCAGAACCTGTTCCCACGAGAGGAGGCGAGGCCAGGCACCGCCGCCATGCGCGCAGCAAGTGGAGGGATGGGGTGGGGGGTATGATACATTCTCGTGGGTGCGTAAATGGTCTGAGAGCCCCTTTGGCCTCCGCAGGGGTCCCTGGCAGGCACAGACACATGGACGCTGGGGAGCAGGAGGCGGTTCAAAGCCTTTATTGGACTGGGGCGTGTGTATACAAGGACGTGCAGGGCCCGCTGTCACAGCTCTGTCTGATGGAGGCAGGTGACCCCCCAGAGGTGAGGCAGAGACCTGGAAGGGAGGCCAGGAGGGCTGGCGGGCTGTCAGAGAGCCTTTGGAAGGTGCTGGAAGGCAAAAGAGAGTCCAGGGCTGGGCTGAGGGGGCTGAGGGGGAAGAGGGGCCTCTCGATGAGGGTCTGAAGTGTGCCCCAGGAAGCCTCTGAGGTCCGGGGAGGGTGTGGAGGGCAGGACGCTGCTGGATAGGGAGGAAAGGTGGTGGGCGTCAGTGCCCAGGGCTGCAGGACCCCGGGAAGAGCTGGGGATGGAAGGGGGTCCTCCGCGCCTGACTTCACACCCACACCTGGAGAGATCGAGTCTGCAGCACGCTGGACCTCTCTTGGTGGGGTCCGAGTAGCACCACGGACCGGAGGACAACGCCTGTGGGGCTGGGCGTGAGCCGGGACCGGATGGGGGTGCTAGCAGATCCAGCGGATGAACCTGTCGAAGAAGCTGGGCTGAGCCAGGCTGTCGTAGTCCTTCTCGCGGAAGATGGCAGCTGTGTCGCCCAGACTGATCTTAGAGAGCATCTCCATGTCCACGTCGTCGCCCACGGCCACCACGGTAGGCACCACGTTCTGCTTGCGCATGGAGTGCACCGCCTCGTCCAGGCTGTGGTTGCCCGTGACGCCGTCCGTGAGGAACACAAAGGCCAGCTCAGCATGGCGGCGCGCCCCGGGCTGCGTGCCAAGCACCACTCTGTTGATGGCATGCACGATGCCCGAGCTCACGTGTGAGAAAGAGTTGAGGTAGCTCGTGCTCTCCAGCGCCTCCTGGATGACCGTCAGGTTGTAGGTCAGCGGGAAGGCCACCTGCTGCTCGTTCGGGCCCCCATACTGCAGCAGGGCCACACGTGCATTGAGTGGGTCATCATCTCTGCGTGCGAGTGTCAGCCGCTGGGACACCTCCTCCACGAAGCGCCGGGCCTTATAAAAGTTCTGCTCACCCAGTCGCTCGGAGCCATCCAGCAGGAAGACGATGTCCACAGGCCGCTGTGTGCACTGGGCCACGTACAGCTCTGAGGGGGAAACAGGAGTGGTGGGCGGGAGTGGCCCAGGTGAGGCTCCCTCAGCCCTGCCTTGGCCAAGCCCCTCTGGGTCATGACCCCACTCTGGCCAAGTCCATTCTGCCACACTCTGCACTCCATCTCTTTATGTGTCCCACTCACTGGAGCAACATGGACTGCTGGAGCGCTGGGGGCTGCACCCAAAATCACCTGTTGTTGAGAGCCCCCTGTCCACCACAGCCCCTGGGGAAGGGTCCAGAGTCCCACCCTGTCTCCTCGTATCCATCACCGTCTCTCTTGGTTGTGCTCTCACCAGGAAATGTTCCTAAATCCGAGGGCAGAGGGCTGTTTCCACCCCGTGAGCACCATCTCTGCCTAGTGCCTCCTCCAAGCCCTCCAGGTAGGAAGGGGCCAGCAAAGCCCCTTCACTTGGCCTGAGAACTGGACACCCCCAGAAGGGCCATAGCCCATGACGTAGGTGGTAAGACAGGGGGGCAGGGAAGCTGTCATCACGTTTGTAATTTGTAGAAAGACCTCACGAAGACCCCAGCCCTGAAGACCCCTGGATGGAAGGACCGACCTACAGCTGTGATCCTGTCACTCCCCTGTCCCAGAGCTGCCTGGCACTGGCCAGGCCACATATCTCCTGGCTCTTGGAGTATTGGAAGGAGAAGGGGCCTGTGTCTGCTCTGACTGCACAAGGCTTTGGTAGGCAGTGGGCACAGGTGTACAGGTGTGGCCAGACCCCTGTGGCAGCCCAGGTGACTACTGTTACCTGAGGAGACACTTGCCCCCTTCTGAGAGGTGACCAGCCCCGGACATGGCGGATGGCGTGGGGGCGAGGCTGCAGCCAGGACTGAGGCTGGGCCTCTGGGGGACATGGACACCACACACAGCCTGAACACCTGCTCCCCACACACGTGGGACTGAGACACAGTCCACTTGCCACAGACATGAAGCCAGGCTCCTCCCTCGAGGCCTTGCCTGAGACCCCAACCACCATCGGGGCTGGGCAGGGCTGGGGCGGTCCCGCAGCTCCTCAGCCGCATGGGCACCTGGCCTGGGTGTGGGCTGGAAAGGACGCTGTTCACAGCCTGGAGTGCAGGGGTCCCGTCGGGAAGGAGTTCCTGACTCACAGCACCAGTGCCGAGGGCCTCCGCCCAGGACCCGGTTCGCGGGCAGCACCCACCTCCCCAGGACCAGCCCCCAGACAGCAGCCGGTCACCCCAGCACATCACTCGACCACAGCAAGGCATTTACGTTGTTTTCCAGCTTTTATAGGATGTTGAAGGTGTGCTCACAGCATTTGAAGGACGACCCCCCGGGAGTGTCACCAGTGTCACACAGTGCCGGGGGCCAGCACACAGGATGCTTTTTTAAGGAGCTTATTAATGACGCAGCTTATTTCGGCGGCGGCAGTGCAAAAGAAGAGCAGCCCTTAGACGCACAGCCGGGACTGCTGAATACTCAGCAGGTTCTCCAGGCGCCCTACAAGTCCTACAAGCAGACAGACAAGCAGGGGAGGTGGCTTGGGGAGTTCTCCTAAACAAGGGGTGACCGGGCACAGAGGCCAGAGGCTAAGCTGGGAATGTTGGGGTGTTTAGGAGGCTCTCCTCGTCCCTTTCTTTCCTTCTGATGACCTCTGCCTATGGCTCGGAGACTGGGCAGCTGGCGTGGGGGTGACAGCCTGCCTTCGGTAACCAGGATAGGAACTCAAGCCCAGGACAAGGGCTCCTCTGAAATAACCCGGCTTCTGAGGGAGTAGGCATGTGTGTGTCTGAGCACCCCTTGGCAGCCTTTGAGACGGGGTTCCCTGCCACTCCCAGGGGCCTGGGGCTGGAGGAGGAAGAGAACATGGTGTCTGTGGTCCCTCCCCCAACTGTCAGCCAGCGGCTTTGGCAGGTGGGTTTGATCTAATGGGGGACTCTTACATCCCCCAAACACGTGAGACAGCTCAGCTGGACTAGGGGTGGTGTAGTCAGCTGAATACTGTCCCTCCAAAGATACCCACATCCCAATCTCGGAGCCTGCAAATGTGACCTATGGTAAAACAGGGCTGTGCAGATGGGACAGAATTACAGACGGAGATGGGAAATTGTCCAGAGTTATCTGTGAGCTCTAAATGCCACCTATGTCCTTATAAGAGAGAAGGAGGGAGGTTAGGCTGCAGAAGGGGAGGCCTTGTGACCATGCAGGCAGGTAGCAGCTGAGAGAGTCAAGAAGGACCCTCTCTGGAGTCCCCAGAGGGAACATGGTCCTGCTGACACCTGGATCTTGGCGTTTGGCCTCCAGGCTGAGAGAGGTTCCTGTTGTCATAAGCACCCCCGTGCACAGCAGGTGCCCAGTGGGGGCAGCTCCGGCCTCTCCAAGCACCATGGCTTCAGCAGAGTGCCAGCGCCGTCTCGGGGTCGCCCACAATGTCCCTGTGCACAAGCTTAAAGGTGTCAATGAACAGCTGCACCCAGTCCTGCCGCTCGCCTCCTGTGGCGAATTTGGCCCGCTCGGCGGTATAGACGAGCACGGCCACCAGCCTGGAGTAGGCGGCCGGGTCCTGCGTGAGCTCCGTGGCGTTTAGCAACTGTTGGATCAGGGGGATCGTCGTGGGGAAGGAGGTGTCTGGGCCCTCTTCCGTGCGGAGGAAGGTGACCAGGGGCTCGCTGCCAGGCCGCGGTCCATCTGCGGGCATCCAGAGAAGGCTTTAAGGGACGCGGTCGGCACGAGCGGGCCTCCAGCCGCCCTCCTTGGGCCTCTCTTCGAAGATGAGTTAGGACCATGGCCAGGAATGGGACGGAGGTTCATGAGGAGTTGGACGGGAGATAGGGAGGCCGCAGCACCCCCGCTGAGGCCTGGCACTGTGGTGGCAAAGCTAAATGGGGCTTTGGGGCTAGAAGCAAAGGACACTGCCAAGTAGAAGGGAGGGGACGCACATCTGGTCCCCACAGACCTTAAGAACCATGAGACGCTCGGCTCAAACGGCTGCACTGAGACCTGACCGGACTCTAGTGTGGCTGCTGACCGCTGGAGCCTGTGCCTTGGGATGACCCCAGACCCTTAAAATTCTCCACACTGCCATGAGAACGGGCTGTCTTTGCAGCCCAAACATAGTGCAAGGACCCCTCTTGGGGTCCGATAGTTTGCAGCTATAAACCCTTCTGTGCCCTTTGAGACGTGAGCCTTTCCCCGCCCAGATGGCCCCTCAAGGACCTGGGAGCACACACACTCGTGCCTACAAAAGGTACGAGAAGTCTGTTTCTCCCCTGGGTAAGTGCCAGTCAGCAAAACCCAGGTGGCCTGGTCACGTGGACCGCGCCCCAGACCCTCTTTGCACCAGCCTCTAGAGGTCTCCTGCCTTTGTTTGGGGGAGCTGAGCTCAGGTTACCTTGGACCGCCTCTCTCCTGCAATAAAATCTGTCTCTGCTGCCTTTACCTGGAGTCTGGCTTTGTCTCTCTTTGACACCTTGTGGTTCTGACACAATCAAGCCGCTACCAGCCTGGTTCAAGCCCAAGCATGGCTGGGCCTCTCGTGGACCAGGCCGTTTGGCCCAGGAAGTCAGGGCCATGCCAAAGCTGGGAGCGTCCACCCAGTGTCCTGTTTGCAGCCCCAAATGCCTAGGAGGACACCCAGCCCACCGCAGGCCAGAGTCCCCACACGTCACTGCATGTTCTATAGTGACATCTGCTTTCTTCCTTTCTGGTCACAACGTCTACTTAGAAACTTCAAATCACTTTACAGGAGGATAAGCTTGTGAGTTTAGCAGGGCGTAGTTAGAGAGGGCCCTGGCACTTTCTCGGTCCTCAGAGGAAGTGAAATCACCGTCCTGGGGACTAGTATTACTCTAACACCAAAACCATCATAAGAAAGGGAACTACAGCCCAAGATCTCTCATGAGCAGAGACACAAAAATCACAAAATATTAGCAAATAGAATCCAACAAGACATAAAAAAACTTCAACTCCATGCCCCAGTGGGGTTTATCCCGGTCTGCAAGGCTGGTCCAACATTTGAAATCAGTCAACACAACGCATCATGTCGGCAGCCTGAAGCACTGCATGACCGCGTCAACAGACACAGACAAAGCGTCTGACAAAGTGCCACTCACGACAAGAACTCACGACAAGGGGTAGAGGGACCTTCCTCAGCTGGATCAGGAGCAGCTAACATGGAACAATGCTGACACACTTGAAGGTTTCCACTAGCAGGGCAGGGCGAGGAGGCCAGGCCACTGCTGGGCCCTGGCACCAGGGCTGGGGTCTGGTCTGTGTCCTCAAAAGGCCACATTGACCATGGGACCCACCCGGGAGGACTCGGGCGCCTGCGGGCTGCTTGGGTCTCAGCGTGGAGCCCAGCCCCCTTGCCTCGGAGGGCCGGCGCTCTCTGGCCAGTGTCTCAGCTCTCAGGTCTCTGGCCACCACACGCAGCTGACTTTGGGGACCCCAGACCTGGGCAGTCTCTGGGATGACCCCACACCTTGGTCGCAGTTACAACCTTGATGAGCATTTCCTTGAAGTTCTGTCCGAATAAGAGGGGACTCCCCTTTGCCCCCAAATCCACGCTCCTTCCCTTAGGCCACCTCGGAGCCCCTGAAACTGCCGGGTGACCTGCCGGCCGGCTGTCCTGTGAGGAGCCTGGCTTCAGTAGCTTTTCTGACCGGCGACCTCAACTTACAGCGAGTAGCCCCGCCCCCTCCACGGCGGCCCCACCTCCCAGAAAGCCCCGCCCCTCCACGGCGGCCCCACCTCCCAGGAGCCCCGCCCCTCCACGGCGGCCCCACCTCCCAGAGGCCCCCGCCCCCAAAGGCGGCCCCACCTCCCAGAAGCCCCGCCCCTCCCTGGAGCCCTCCCAGCAGGATCGTCCAGCAATGGCTCCAGGACCCAGGCGGGCGGGGGCAGGCTCGCCGAGAGGGGCTCCGTGGCCCCAGTCACTGTGCAGCTGCTGAGGTGGCAGCACAACGCTCAGAGGAGTGACAACGCCATTTGCCCTTCCCAGGCCCCCGTGGAACCCCTCGGGGACAGCCTCCGTGCGCCCCCAGCGTTCCAGCCGCGCACCACGCACCACGTGGACCGGGGGCGCCGCCCCCTAAACGCCCGCTGGACCGCGCTCCCAGCGGGAAGATGGACACAGCGAGGCCGCAGCTCAGGGCCTCAAGGGTCCAAGGGAGCCCATCGGCTGCTCCCAGACGGGTTCAAATCAGCCCTTTGGTTTACTGTATCCAGGGCTTCCGCCTGTGGGGGCCAGGAGGGCCCTGGGTATCTGTCCCTCCCAGGTGGGCAGTGGGGACCACAAGGCCTGAGCCCCTGGGCGCCGGCAGCACCTTGTCCCCACATGTGCCAGGTGGGTGGGATGCCGGAAGAGCTCGAGATGCCAAACCCTGGGCCCCCATCCCCCTCCTCGGACATGCTGAGACGGACCTGAGGGTTTCTAGCTGGGGCAGGTGCCCCACAGCGCGCTTCCCTGCAAGGCCCCCAACCCTGGGCAGCCGCGAGCCTGGGGCTGGGCTCGGCAGCACCCCGTGTTACCTGTTTGGCAGGGAAGGTCTGGGCACACGATCTGGGGGTCTAGGAGAGAGGAAAGTAGGCCGTGGCCCCGGTCAGTGTCCGCTGCCCCCCACACCCCAACACCACCGCGCCCCGCCCGCCGGCCATGCAGGGACAGGGTTGGGAGACCACTCACCCGGGCACAGGACGTCCTCCATGTCGTCGATGAACTTCTCGGCCACCAGGTCGGAGAAGAGCGTCATGTTGCGCACCTGTTGGGGCTTGTCGCAGGCGATGGAGTTGAGGTTCTCGCTCTCGTGTTTCTCGTGGAACATGTCCCCGATGCCAATGGCTGTCACAGTGACCTCGTGGTTGCACAGCGCCCGCAGGTTCAGGTCGTCATCCCGGGGGTCGTGGCGGCCATCTGTGATGACCACTGCAAACACGCGGGTCTTCTTCCTCCGGCTCTCCTTGATGAGCTGGTCATAGGCGAACTTGAGGGCCGAGGGTGTCCAGGTGCCGCCTGCGATCCACTCGAGGTTCTTGACAGCCTCCTTGAAGCTGGACAGCGAGTCGATGCGCTCATCGTCCAGCTGGATGGCCTCGAAGGTGCCCTCGTGGCTGTACTGCACGACACCGACGCGGGTCCCTGTGGGACCAGAAGCAAGTGTGAGGGGGCTGGCCCTGCGTCCTCTGTCACCACTCACACTCTCCACCCTCAAGTGGGGGCCTTGGGACCCTTGGCCACGCTAATGTCCCTCCCTTGCATTTCTGTCCATCCTCCGTCTCCCAGAAACAGATCTTAGGGCATCCTGCCTGCTGGCCTCCCGCCCCGGCCCCTGCAGGCGCCGCTGACCCGTCTCGGACTTGGGGTCCTTGGCGATGGCCCCCAGTCTGTTGACCACGTTGATAACGAAGTTCTTCTCCAGCGTGAAGTTGGTGTAGCCTATGCTCTCAGAGCTGTCGATGACAAACACTACGTCCAGGGCACCACACCGCTTCTCGCAGTCTGTGGGCGGAGGAAGGGCACTAGCTGTGTGCACTCACCATGTCCGGACACACCCCAGACCCTAGGGGCACACAGCCAGGTGCATGGCTGGGAACGGTGACTGCAAGAGGTAGGGCGGGACTTGGACGATGACTCCGACCCTCGGATGAGACCCCCAAGGACACAGTGTCCTGGTCCAGGGCAGCCCTGCTCCACTGCCGCACGGGGTTGGAGACTCACCACAGCACCCGCACGTCTCCCGGACGTAGGTCATGACATCACACTCCTGCAACAGAAGTCAGCCCGGCCAGCACAGTGAACCCAGGAGGGGTCGAGGGGAGCTCCTGCGGGGAGAGTCTGTGGCCCTGCTCCCCTGGCCTCCGACCTCACCCTCGGACATTGCCCTCTGACCTCACCCAGCTGCCCTCACTTCTGACCTCACTCTCTGACCTTGCTTTTCGATCTTAGGAGGGAGGACACTGATTCCATCCCCGACTGACACTTACCGTGAGGCCGGGGTCTCCAGGGGGGCCGGGCTCTCCCTGGAGTAGGAAGAACCATAGTGAGAGGTGACGACTGTCACAGCCGAGGCCCCCAACCCCTGGACACTGGGCCCTGCTTCCACCACAGGCAGAGCCCTTCGGTTCAGGGTGCACGTTGGCCTGGCTGGACCAGGGACCGGGGACTGACCTACCTGGGGTCCTGGGGCTCCTCTTGGCCCCCGAGGGCCTGGCTCACCATGGGGACCAGGATCTGCCTGAGAAGAGAAAGGGAAGGCGGGTTCAGCAAACACCCTGGTCCCTGCACACCGCCCTGGGCGTGGGGATGAGGAGGGGTGAGGAAGGAGGAGGAGGAGGGGTGAGGAAGGAGGAGAGACAGAGAGAGGAGGGAGCAAGGACAAGGACACTCACAGGCTCGCCCTTCTCTCCTTTCCGCCCAGGTGCTCCTTTCACACCGAAGTCGCCTCTGCCCCCCTGGGACACAGGACACACACGTGAGCCCCGGAGGAGGGGACATCTTTGGGAGAGCTCTGCTGCCCCCTCCCAGCCTTTCAAAACCCCCAGTGAGTCTGCCGGGGACAGACATGTTGGTTGGAGAACCTGTGCCTCCTGTTAGGGTTGGTTAGATGGCAACAGCTCAGGGCGGTTCGGGTGGCCCTGGTTTCGTTAGCAGGAGGTTAGTACTGGGCCCCGCCGCTACACTCAGCGCTCAGCTGAGGGCAGCTCCCTCACCAGCGGGAGGTGCGGGACCATGGCATTCCTGCCCTGGGGAGCAGGGCACAGACCACCCCAGGTGGATGCAAGTGGCCCCCACGTACCTCGGGGCCGCGCAGTCCTGGCTCGCCTTTCTCTCCCTGGGGGGCAAGCACAGGTGGGGGTTACTTAGAACAGACCACCAAGAGCAGACACGCTGAACCCCGGGCATAGCTGGGGACCTGGAGGTTTTCTGCAGTTCCCTCCCTTCCCCCAGGGGTGGTCTCAATTATAGTAATCTGGGTGAATGCCACCTGTGCTGCATCCAATCCTGGGGGACCTGTGTCTGCACCCAACATGTGACCCCGCCCCCTCATCCTGTCCCCCAGAACAATGCCTGCCTCTCTCCCTCCATCCCATGCCAGGACTTACAGGCACGCCTCGGGGTCCTGGGTAGCTGAACCCAGGCCTGCCGGGGTCTCCCTGGAGAAGGGAAGGGGGAAGGTTGGTCACGAATGTCCAGTGGGAAACGTGAGTGGTCAGCATGGACTGAAGGCGGGTGGGGCCCGGTCTTAGGGAGGGCGTGCCACCCCCACCCCCTACCCCCCAGTGAGAACAGGAGCACTGCCTGGCCCCCTCACATCCCCCACACCACTCTAGAGCTGAGAACAGACTCAGCCCCAAAACCCCAGGTGAGGAGAGGGCGTACCTTGGGGCCAGGCTGTCCCGAGTCTCCACGGGGACCAGCATCACCAGGGTCTCCCCGAGATCCCTGAGGTCAGAGAAAGTGGGGAGTTGGTAGACCGACCGCGTCCAGCTCTGACCACCAGGAACACGGCCTTGCTGCCCCTCTTCCACGCACACCCTCCCAGCTCCCAAGTCCCACCTGGTAAAGCTGGACCCGTCAGGGCGGGACAGGGGCGTGAGGTGCACGGCGACCCTTGACCCCTGTCCCACCGCCTGAGTTTGCCATGAAGACAGTGTCCTGCCCGAGGACAGGAGCACCCAAGTGGCAGTACAGGGCAGAGGAGGGAGATAGTGAGGTCGAAGGGCAGACAGGGGCCTAAGCCCCAGAGCTACAGGGCCCTCCCAGGTGTCCTGCTGCTGACCTGCTTCCCGGGCTCCCCGAGAGCCCCCTGGGGACCTCTGGGTCCAGGCATGCCTCGGTCTCCCTGCAGAGAAAGGGGACAAGGGCACCTCTGAGAGTCTGTCGTCAACACTGGGGAAGTTGCAGTGTGGGGGGGCCTGCTGCCCTCCAGGAGGTCCTGAGCAAGGCTTTGTTCCTCAGCCCTGAGAACAGTGCCACCCCCCACCACTCCCCTGCAGGGCCTGCAGGGGCAGAAGGGCAGGAGGGGGTCAGGGGACCCCAGGTGCAGCCCCGTCCAGCCAGGGAGCTGGGTGCTGCCCGCCATCTGCTTACCTTAGAGCCTTTGCCACCAACCTCCCCGGCCAGGCCCCGGGAGCCCTCGAGGCCAGGGTCCCCCTGTGAGAAGAGAGGCACAGTTAGCTTGGGGCACGTGTGGGAGAGGCCAGGGAGGGGGACACTGAACTCCCTGGAGGGGAGGACCCCAGATTGTAGAGGGTAACATTGAAACAGCAGTCCCGCAGGCTCCATCTCATGCAGCCTGAGCAGGGACCCCACCCATTCCCAGGAGGGGGCCCCTCCTTCAAGCCCCTCACCCACATCTCACGGAGCGCTCTGATTTGCCCCAAAGCCCAGACACCTGCGCCAGCTGCAGGGCACGTGTGGTGGGGCTGCCAGCCCGTGCAGCTGTGCACGGCTCCCGTGGGAAGGGCCGAGTCCTCGAGGCTCCTCGGCAGGTGCGCCCCCATGAGCAGCGCAGCCTTTGTGCTCCCGAGTCCCTGGGGTCGTCAGCGTCACGCGGGTGCATTGCGTGGGCCCACAGGAACCCACGTGCAGAGGTGGACACTCACCTTCTCACCTTTGGGGCCCGCGCTGCCTGGGCTGCCCTTGGTTCCGGGGTCTCCCCTGCGCCCCTGCGGAGAGTGGGTGTGTGGGTGGGGGCCACACAGGGACCCCTCACTCTGCTCTCCCCATGAGGACTCTGGCTTTGGGGCCTGGGGGCCCCTGCAGATGGCCTCAGCACAGACCCTTGTCCTCTGCAGGTCGGTTTGGTCCCAGCTGCTGCTCAGCTGTCAGGCTGGGCGAAGCTCTAGTTGACGTGCTGGGACCCGGCTTGGGCCACGCAGCACAGTCACTTGGCTTGCTTCTGGGCTGGGCCAGGAGGGTCAGCCCTGAGGCAGGACTTTCCTGGGCTGGCGGGGGGGGGGCGAGGACGCTGTGTGGGACCCACGGAGTGTGTGCTGGGCTACGTTCAGCCCTCAGGAGGGCAAGGTGGGGACGCGGTGCCATGTCACGGGCATTGAGTGTCCAGCAGGGGCGTGGCTGAGCCCTTCCCCTGCTGCAGTGGGGTCATGGAGGCACAGTGAGGACACCTCAGGCTCAAGGAGGCCCAGAGCAGGGCACAAGCCAGGACAGGCTGGGCAGGCAGGCAGGGGGGTGTCACTCACAGGCTCTCCTTTGGGTCCCCGGGGTCCAGGTCCACCTTTGGCTCCTTTCATGCCAGCACTTCCTGGGGCTCCGTTGTTGCCTTGATAGCCCTGTAAGGAGGGGCCAGCTCAGCCAGGCAGGGTTACCTGGGCCACACTCAATCAGGCGGGGCAGTGTTTGCCTCAGGGAGTGGGTGCCCCTGCATGTGGCAATAGGACAGAGAGGCTGGTGGCCTGCTCAAGGTAGGGGGCCAGTGAGGGCACCTGTTGTCCCTCCTGTTCCCCGTCTGTGGGCACCACTGGTGTGTGGCTGGGGTGGGGCTGCAGGGACCTCTGGGACACTTGCCTTGCTTCCTTTGGCCCCGTTGTCTCCTGGGGGCCCTCTGCGTCCTGGGCGGCCAGCATCCCCCTGGAAGGGTTGGGAGAAATCAGCCTCGTGTCCCTCGGATGCCAGTTTTGGGACAGGATCTTGTAGGGGCTGGGGGCACGTGCCTCCCATCCCCCTCTGCAGAGCACACTCTTGGGAGGCAGGGCCCCTGGGCGGCCGTGCAGGTGAATTAATCACACACAACTCCTGTCTGATGCGCTTCTTGGCGGGTGAAGTGGGGGAGAGGGAAGGCTGCCCTTCCTGTCCTTCCAGCGGGCCAGGCAAAGTGACACTTCAGATGGCCTAAGAGGCAGGACCCCCACAGGCACCTGAGAGCCTGGTCCAGAGTTAGAGCCCAGCCCGTGAAGCCCAGGCAGGAAGGACACCGATAGGCCCCCTGCCCCTGACAGGGACTGGTCCCCCTGCTGTCCTTCTCGGCCAGCTGCCTTCCCCAAAGGCTGGGCACTGCAGCAGGGAGCAGGCACCGGGAAGGCAGTGACCCCGCTCTGCTCCGGCCGCTGCCACCCTGGCCAGGCCACCTACCTTGGCGCCTTGGTCTCCAGGCTCCCCAAGGCTGCCTGCGTCCCCTGGATAGCCGTCAGGACCCTGCAAGAGAGAGGGAGGGGCTGCACTCGGGGTCTCCCCATGAGCCCAGGGCCAGTTGATGTGGGGAGGGTGACCAGCCCTCCATTTTCTGGACTGGACACTCCACCCTGTTCTCAGCTGCCTCAACCCACTGGGCCGGGGTGAGACGACCAGACAAGCTCAGCACTGAGCCCATCAAGGGAAGCAGCCACCCTCAACTGGACCCAAATGCCTCCAAGGCCATTTTGTCCTGCTGTGGCTCCAGCCCTGGCTGAACCCTGGCGGGCGTCAGGGACAGGCAGAGCAGGGACGCCGGCTTCCCCAGCCCCGCCTGGGCCAGGTGCCTCCAGGGCCAGGGGTTTAACATGGGAGGAGCCGAGCTGTGCTTACCCGACTCCCAGGGTCTCCCTTGCAGCCAGGAGGTCCGATGCGCCCCAGCTTGCCCTGAAGGAGAACAGGGAGCAGAAGTGCGTCAAGAGCGAGATGTGGGGATGACGCGCACCAGTGACCGGTGTGAACGGCAGGCACACTCCATGCTGCTCTGCGTGCACCGGGCACACAGCGTGTGATCCTGTCTTTTAATGGCTGGACTGTCATGGCGACACCTCTGTGGAGGTGGGAGAGAGTCCCTGGCTGCGGCTGGGAGCATGAGTGTCCAAAGCGCCCCCCACATGTGTGCATGTGTGTGTGCATGCGATGTATGTGTGCACATGCAGGCATGTGCACATGTGATGTGTGTGCATGTGATGTATGTGTGCATGTGTGATGTGTGTGCACGTGTGATGTGCATGTGCACGTGTGATGTGCATGTGCATGTGTGTGCACTGCCAGTCAGGCACAGCTGGGTTATGCAGGACAGGCTGGTAAGTTCTTGCAAGGCTGGGCCGTAGTTCTCAGAAGGAAATGTCCATACCTGCTCTTGCAATGTCCTTATTTGTCCTGTGTCCCCTGGACAAGTGCAAACTGGGGCTGCCCAAGCCACAGGTTGTGGGCAGTAGCCAGTGGGCCCAGAGGCCAGCCTCAGGGAAGGGCCTGAGCATCTGAGGAGGTTCTGCTCACTCCTGTAGCACCTGAGATGCTGTATACGACCTTCCTGCCCAGCCCGTGACACGCCCGAGGGCACTCTACCTTCTGTCCGTCAGTCCCGTTCTTGCCAGCTAAGCCAGAGGCGCCCTGAGGGAGAAGGAAGAGGGGATGCCATCAGCCCCAATTGCCACCCCCTTGGAGCAGCCAGAAGGTGGGGTGCCCAGCC